ATCCAAGCACACGCATGTTTTTTGCAGCTTTGTTCACAATAGCTAGGAGCTGGAAACAACCCAAGTGCCTATCAACAAATGAACGGATAGAGAAGCTGTGGTATATTCACACAATGGAATACTATGCTGCATTAAAAAACAAGGAACTCATGCAATATTATTCAAAATGGGTGACCCTGGAAGGCATTATGCTGAGTGAAATATCTCAATCACAAAAGGACAAATATTCCATAGTGCCACTGTTGTAAAACAGGACTGACATCGGGGTTGGGGAGAGACTAAAAAAGATGGGATAATTAATGTATAGTGCATTGAAACAAGTGAGGAAGAAAACTGTTTAAAAGGGATATGTGACTAGGTATTATTGTCAGGGCAGGAGTCCAGAACAAAGGCTACATAGTGAAGTGGAAGGGGGGAAAGGATTGTAAAACAATGAAAGAATTTCTCTTTTATTTTTGAAAGAGAAGAGTATACTAGGGGAAGGTGGGGTGGGCAGGGAGAAAAGTACAACAATGAAGGAATGGAAATTCAAAGTCTCTGTAAATTTTCATTTAAATAAATAATTATAAAAAAGTTAAAATAAGAGCTATATTTGCTTTAATTCAAGCAGATTCCTTGATATTAATATAAAACATAGTAAAGCTGAAAATCATGTGAAGACAACTGAGAAAGACTGTGGGAATAATGGCAATGCTATGTTTAATGCTTCATCACTTCCATTTTCATTTTCACTGAGTATTTTCTACTTAACTTGATAATTTTTCCCATATATCCCATTAAAAAATTATTGTGTTGTTGTTGGTATGTGCTGTTGAGTCACTTGCGACTCACAGGGACACTATCTACAACAGCCCTAAACCCTGCTCTATCCCTTGCCAATCTTATTGTCTTTGACACACCTATCCTCATTACCCCAAGTCACTGAATCAATCCAGCCCATTGAGGGCCTTCCTCTTCTGCGCTGTCCCTCCAGCCTTCCAACTATGATGTCCCTCTCCAAGAACTGGTCCCTCCTTGCAACCTGTCCAAAGTATGTTAGACAAAGCTTCAGAATCCTTGTCTCCAAGGAGCAGCCATGCTTCAACCTCTCCAGAACGAACATGTTTGTTCTAGCAGTCCACGGTATATTCAATACTCTTCAACACTGAAAATTTCAACTTAAATGCAATGGAGTTTTAAATCTAAATTTTTCATGGGTTACTGGTAATCTTTATTTTACAAAAATGACAAAAAATAAAAACCAGCAATCACCTTTCTTAGAGGTGTAAAATATATTCATAATACAGTAAATGCAGTCCACTGGTGAGCAAAGAGTCAGTCATCATAGCTATTAAAAGAACGACACATTAACCTTGTGACTGACTTTGGAGCCTTACTTACCAGTTCTCTATAGACACCTTCATGTTTTCCTTCAGGTTTAGTTGATTTATCCTTCTGTAAAACTTCTTTATTTCGGTTACCACCAGTACTCATATTGAGATTACTTCTAGCACCACCACCACCTCCTCCAAATGTCTTGGTCTTTAGATAAGAAAAAGATAAAACAAGTATTACATGAGCAGTAGCAGTAATAAAAACATTTCATAAAACTGAAGTCATAAAACACTTCCAAATAATGATTTAAATAATAACTTAAATGTTAATACATTCTTTTTAGACAGTACAAGAATATATTAGCTATAATGTTGTTGTTTTTGTTGTTGTTACATGCCGTCGAGTCATTTGTGACTCATAGCGACCCTATGTACAACAGCCCTAAACCCTGCTCTATCCTGTGCCAATCGCACTGTCTCTGACACACCCATCCCGATTACC